TATTTTTTTTATATATATATATATATAAAGATTGCCATCACATTATTATTACAGCTACTTAAGTCAAAATTTGACTAAGTAACTACTTTGCTTGACTCAATGATGCTATCTGAAACAGATACCCAAAGGCATACTTGAAGGAAAACGTAAGGCTAAAAGAAACCCAACACCCTCAGCTCTTTTTAACTCGATGAACAGAGATTTTTGCGTTCTTTGAGAAAAGTTCTGAGGGTTTTAAGTTAGAACCTTAATCAACTTGCATGTGGACTTCTAAAAAGCATGGTGTTTAATTTGCCAGATCTTCTCGAAATGCCTTTTACCAGGGAAACTAATATATATATATATTCTTTGCTTACCAAACTGATACTCTGTTTCTCATTACACTCATCATTTTATCTAAATACACTTTTAAGCAATCTAAATTTTGTTTAAAATCTATTAAATTTGGATTAACTAATACTATCAACATAGCTGGATTATTTTTTTCACACGTTCCTTTGTATTAAAACCAATTATGTTGTGGTTTGATGCAAGAGCTTTTTGTTTGTTTTGGTGGGAGAGGCAAAGTCCAATTTCCTAACATGCCAGTACAGTTCTGGTTGCTGAAGACAAAGGGCGGGAAGGAGGCTGGTGGGAAAGGTGGCAGGGGTAAGTGAAGTAAGAGGTGGGGGGAGGAAAAAATTGATTTAATAAAAAATGAGTAAAGAAACTTTAAAAAATTGATATAGGTTTCACATTCAGTCTAACAACACTGCTTCCTGCTCCTTTTTGATGGAGGCTAACACTGCGTTATCAGTCTCTGTGGCTTCTGTGTCCCCACCGCCTAGCAGAATGGAGCGATCTTCTTCTAGTGTAAAGACAGAGTTTTGATTTTGGCACGAATGTTTGACTACTTCATTGGGAGTTGAAAACGTTTTGTCGCACAAGTTGCATTTGTAGGGCTTGTTGGTCTGTACTAGCATGTTGTCCATTTGACTGCCTTCCTCAAAAGTACAGAGTTCCAGAGTCTGTTTGTCCACCATTGTGTACGTGTCCATGCTCTGGTTTAGGCACACGTGTCTGGCAGCCTGGTTAGCCCTACAAAAGCTTTTGTCACAAGTGCTGCACTTGAAGGGCTTGCCAGTGTGTATGTACATGTGCTCCCTCCAGTGGCTTTTCTGAATAAATTTGCGACCACAGATGGAACATTCGTATTTCCGTCTTTTTACTTCCCTCTCTTGATCTGCCTGCTCCAGGTTGTCTATGTCTGCAATATCGGAGGGGGGTGGTGTCTCTGACTGCTGCTGCCCATCAATTATGGGGGAGTCTGAGATCTGCTGCAGCTCGCTGTCGCTAATCATCCCTGCTTCAGGCACTTCCACGGCATCTTTATCAGCTGTGTTGTTACAGAGAGACAAAGAAATATTACTTTCTCCCTGCTGGCTGGATGTGAAGGGAACTCCCGTGTGGATCTGCAGGTGCTCACGCAAACTACTTCGCAAATTGAACCGGCGACCGCAGAGGTGGCAGGCATAGTACTTTGGGAAGCTTCCGTTCCTTTTCATAATGCTTGGCTTGACATGCGCTATTGTGAGCGAGGCAGGCTGTTCATCTGAAGAAGATGCTTCCATGTTGGCCTCTTCTCCTGCAGGTGAATTATTACCAGCAGCAGATACCAATTCTGGAGATAAAGAAGATGGCAACGGGTCAGAAGTGGACATATTTGTCCGGGTCACTTGTGGCAGAGTTGTAGCTAACTGTGAGAGCTGTGAGCCTTCAGAAACCTGCTCTTGGTTCATCCGTGATGTCTGTGGCCTTGGTTCTCGCCCAAGTTTGTCGGTCGCTGATGGAACCTTACTGGGATGTCTTATCTGGTGATCTGCAATCTGAATGCCATATAATGAAGATGCTAATGGAAAAACTTGATCCGGGTGAGAAAAAGTTCCCTGACTTGCAAGGCTGGCCTCTTGAATTAGTGGATATGCATGCAGAAACTTTATTCCCTGTTCTAGTCGAACTGGGTCAATGAGTTGCGGTGCCATCTTCCCAGTGTACATCAAATGCAAGAGATAACTGAAGATATCTGGCTGTATGTCTGTCGCTTTCAAACGAACGCATTCGCTGAAAGGTGAAACACAATGATGAATGAGAGATAAGGAAAATCTTTTTTACCAGATATAGGTTATTCAAGCATTGATAAAAATCAGAGGCATCTACTTAAATTCAAAAGACAGAATCTGGAATAAATATAGAGAAACCCTTCAACGTAAAACAGCTAATCTTATTGGCCACTTGAAAAATGCCTTTTTCTTCCTCAGGAAAGTAACCGGCTTGGAAGACAAAGCTGTCACATTGCTGTCTACACCTTTCTAAATTGCTGTTATGTTATAGATTTGTGGTCATGTATGAATATATTTTTGTAAACTGCAAACATATTTTCCCCTTTTTTTTTTTGTTGAATTCAAACATGTCTGTAAGCTAAATGAAAACCTGCTGGCACTGGTGTCTAATTCACAGTCCATTAAACTTTTCTCGGTACATAGCTCCGAAAACACGTAAAATTCACCTGCCACTTGCCTGTTTGGCTTCTATGGCTTACTACTGTTTGCAGCTGCAGTTCTGCAAATGTGTGGTATCACCTTGTCTCAACTGTATTACGATCCAGAAACCATGCAGGACAGGGTGTAAATCCCCTGAGGATCTGATGCAACAGGTGTAGCCTGGGCACATCTAACTTGTAGCAGCCAGGCTCCTTACAGAGCAGAATGGTAGCTTCTTTCCTTGAATAGGGAGGAGGAAACGGCAGCACCAGTGGTACGCCTGGTCAGCCTAACAGTCCCTCAGTTAGAGCACTCAACAAAGGGAGACTATCTGGCTGTGATTCCCTCTTCCATCTAACGGGACTGAAACCAAGACCATCCTCCAGCTGACAACACATCCTATGCATCAACCTTTAGGATACTCTGGACTGAAACACCCACCACTCCTCCGGTTGAAGCTGGATCTCTGTGCAGAAAGAGAGGCAAGGTTCACAGAAGAAGAAAATCAGGAACATCTCGGTTAGGCCAGTTAGCTAACAGGAGAGGATCTGGGATTCTAATCATTTTTCAGAGTTGTAGCTCTTTTGTTAAACAAACATTAAATAAAAGACAGAAATCCAGAAATCGACATGACTGTGCACGGCGGTCTGAATGCTCTAACCACAGTAGGCCACCAAGCTGAGGAGGAAATAATAGCCAGTTCTTCCATTTCTTGAGGTGCACCCTTCTTGAGCTCTCTCTCTGACTGCTTTTGAATTCAGAGATATTACTCAACAGTAAACTTTGCAACACTCTCTTCTGAAGATGACTGTGTGCTCTTGATGGAGCATCAAGACCGATACATCTGCCTGCAGTCCTGTCTCAGAAGTGCAAATGCACATCTGTCCTCGATGTTTACTTCTGGCTAAGAACTCTTAGCCAAAGACTTAAGAGTTTCACTCACTTAACATAAACTTTTTGAACAGTTCACATAATTGGGATAAAGAAAAGACAAAAAAACCCTTTAAAACAGTCTTACACTTCTGTTGTCTTTTCAATGCCTTTCATGTAAGGCTGCCCCCCCGCCCCTCAAAAAAAGAAACACAAACTCCCTTATTTTCCACCACTACATAGTATTTTAGTATTTAACTGACTTCGGTAAACTGTAAAAAAAGAAACATATTAACCTCTTTTATAAGTCCATTTCTCAAAATCTCCTAGCAAATATTTATTGGTTCACACATAATGTTATGGAAATGTCAAGAACAGTGCCAAGACAGAGTAGAGGATAGTGAGTGGGAGAAGGAAAGTGCAAGAGTGAAGGCAGGATCCTTTAAATATACAATTCTAGGAATTCTGTGCTTTTTTAAGGATAAAGAACTTAACACTACATTATAACATTAGTGTTAATGAATCAGAGTTCAACTTTAGTTAAACTGAGATTCTAGTTTGCAGTCAAGACCGGATTCCATATTCCTTATGTCATAGTAAGAAGCAAAAAGAACATTTACAGGTTTCAAAATGTTGCTAGACCTCCTTACCTCAGCTAACTGAACAACATTTAAACAGTGAACCTTTTTAGAGTTACCTGGTTTGATGAACAAACAACATCTTGAAGTAGTTGGAGAAAGAAGCAAGGACTGATTTGTGGGCCTTGAAGTAGACATCACCAATGGCAACTGTGCAGTCACACAGGAAACCGAACTCTCTCTGAGCATTTAGTTGCTGCAGCAGAATAAGTCCATGGTTGGCCAAATCCATTTTTTAACACTCTGAAAAGCAAACGACTTCCATGTAAAACTTAACAGTAGATGTCTCTTAACAGGTATTTTCCTCTAATGTCCATATATCATGCTCCAGTAACACCTCTTAATCCCAAGCTACTGTATAGACAACACCTTACACGGAGGCAAGGATCTCTGTTTTGTGACGGGCAATGCGATTCACAAAGGTGCAGGCGATTTGCTGAAGCTTAAACAGCAAAGCAGAGCCAGGACTACAGAGTTCTGAAAAGGCACAGAAACATAAATAGCTAAAGGCGAGGAAGAAAACTTACTAAGTAAGTAGTAAAAACATCTATTTGTAATGGGAAGAACGAAGTATTTTGGCTAACCACTTGCCTGTTCAAACAGGAAAGATCAATATCCCTTCCAGTATCAGATACCCTCACCTAAGTGGGTGGTAGAGGCAAGAGCAGAATCCAATAAAAGACGTTACAGAACTTTTATGTAAAAGACATATAAAGATACTGAAAATTCAGGTTAAAAGCATGCATCTATCCAGCTGAATCCAAACCCAACATTAAATAATGAACATTTCCAATGGTTATGTCTTCCCCTAGGAAATACCAGATCCATACCCGAGTTTTCCCAGGCTGAAACAATTGATTCATTCTAGGTATTGATAAACCCTCTGGACTATCAGAACAGGAGAGGCCAATCTTTTCACTCAACAACTATTTGTTTATTTATTGAGATCAGCTACAACAGCATTCTGTAAGGACCCTGTGTGCCAGAGTGCCTTACGCTCGCCTAGCAAATGAAGAAACCCGAGCGGCGAGGGGTGCGGCTCCGTCCATCGGTGGCTGTCGGTGCAAGGCTGGATAACTAACGGAGAAACGTGGCACTGACCCGAGTCCCCCACAACCTCCCTGCACTTCCTTGTACCAGCTGCTGGAGGCTGCCCTCAAAAGCACTACCTAAGGGCTACCAACTTTTTCCTCAAGGATTCGGGGGCAGCCTTGGAAACAAGAATTGATAACTTTGGGAAAAAAATAGCCAGGGAAACACATTAGGGCAGTTGCATACGGTTGGATGGATGACTATATGGCTAGTAAGATCAACAAGTGGATATAAACTTACTCAAAACAAATAGAGCTTTGGGCAGAAAAAGTAGAAGTATGAAGTAATGTAGGTCTATATGTAGCCACGTAAAACAGCAAGAGAAGTCAACAAAATCCCTGGGCACGTTATGCCCAGAACAGTGCAGATGCTCTATGAACAGAAAAGAAACAGAAGTGGGTCAAAAGTGGTAGATTCACAAAAAGTCCTGGGTTTTTTGCCCTCCAAAATTAATAGGAAGTTATTGTAATTTTAGGTAAGGTACAAACAACTTGTTTCTTCTATACAGTAAGAGTGTGGCTTTTTGAGAAAGAGAATAAAAGTGTATTCCACATATGCCAATATGTTTAGTCATTGGAGAAACAAGTATTTCTACTTGCTGGAGAGTAAAGAATTGCCCTCATATTTAAACCAATAACCAGGCTGACCAAATGCATTCCTTTGCACTCACATGAGAACAGAACTTGTTTGAGTCAGGGGTGTAAGGGCAAAGAAAGAAATACAATTTAAGATACAGTTGATTATTTTCTTACAGTTAATAAGAGAAAAAAAAAAATAACCAGCCAGGTTCCAACCCTCTTCAGGTCCATCCTCTCCTCCCTAAATTACTGTTTGGATAATTGTGCTTGTACAAACAACATGCTAAAATCCTCTCCCTCTCACCAAAAGAGGGAATACTTGCTGTATTTGCTGTGATAAAAATCATGTTCATTATTATTTAATCCTGCAAGATGTTCCATGCAGGTAGACTTTGTGATGTTATGGAAAACATGCTAGTTGTTTTTTTTTTTGTAGCTTTAATTTAGATTTTTCTGTGTGTGCTACATTTTTTAATGCATCAGCGTTGAGTCTGGTTTGTACTTGGACAGCGAAGCTTGTTGGGCAGAGCAAACCATCGATGTGAGGCAACTGCAAGCCAGAAAGGCATTCTTTCTAGTTATTATCATCCCAAGTTTGTTTAGCTTATAGTTTCACCCTTATCCAAACACTAGTCACTGCGGCAGTTGAAGTGTGGCCCTTCATCAGAGACCTGAATTAATCTTTTCACAAAACAATACGGTGTTCTTACACGTGCGCAACACCAGGTTTTTGAGTGTATTTAAAAGATATTTAAATGCTTTGAACTGAAAGCACGAGAAGAATTATGCTCTCAGGTAATTATATGGCAGAGAGTCAGGAAAGCACTTTGTCTCATATATATGGAAGGGTACGCCATAGGTATGTGTGTATGTTCAGGAGGTTCACCCTTAGCTAAATAAAATTATGATTAACACCACCAAGGCCGTACTTCAGTAGTGTTGACCGATTCAACAACTATGTGAAATGTTTCTCATGCCCCGAAGCTCTGTCGGGACAGTCCCCGGTACGGCTGACAGGCTGGTCTGGCTCACAAGCTGTATCGCAACTTTTGAAATTACCTGATTTGCTCAGCGGTGGGTGAAAAACCACACGAGGCTGAGTCCTTTCGGAAAACGTACATTTATTTCGGAGACCACAATGGGAAAAGCGGTGGGCAAAAGCCACGGGCGAGACCGAGAAAGAGCCGGTCCCGCACCACGGAGGAGGAGAAACAGGCCGAGGGAGACCTGGGAGCGACGGGGAGGAGGAAGAGAGCGGAGACTGGGAGGCGTCCGGCCTGGGGAGGTCGGCC